CCCCAAAACCCCAAAACCCCAAAACCCCTCTCCAAATATTTTTAATGAAAGTTAAAATTTATGCATGGACTCTTGAACGATTGAGGGCTTGAACTGGAGCATGGAGTCAAGCTTGGTGAGCTGAGTGCGAGAAAGTTGGCTGAGCGAGGAACAAGTGAGGTAAGGGGTGAGGGCTTTGGAAGCGTCTGAGTGCTTTTCGAGGCTGAAGGTTAGGATAGAAGGTACCTGATGAGGCTGGAGATGTAGTAGATCATGAGCTGTTCTTCAGGAGTTTGGGAGGTGGAGGTGAGGGAGGTGGGCAGGAGGGGTAGAGGGGTTGGAGAAGGGGATTCAAGGAGGTCGAGGGGAGGTGCAGATCTGGTTTGTGTATTTTGGGTTCAGAGGGATTTTATGTCAGAAAAATTGTCGAGAGATTCCTTGGAGAATTTAGTCTCAGTTAAGGAACTTTGGAGGGGGATTGATGAAAACTTGGCGGAATCTATTGGTTGAGATCTAGCTGAATTATCACTATTGACTCTATCGTGTGCTCTATAAATGCATGCCCAGATATTGCTCTCAATGCTAGCAAGTCCTTCAATATCTTCAATTGTTTTTTCTGATTTGTAGAATTCATAGCAGTAGTCTCTATATAAAGCTCAACATTTCATGTGATAATCAGTATGCAATTCCTGATTTTCTCTTAATATCTCACAAGCTCTTTCAGACATAAATGGGAGCATATAGTAAATATCTTCTTCACTTTGGTTATTTTTGTGGATTAAAAGTGAACTCCCAACTAAAGTATTTTTGAGTTTTTTCCATGAATTGTCTCCCCAAATCTGAGTGATCTCGTCTTTGTCAGCTCCAGAAGGCAGCAACCCGATCAGACAGAACAAATCAAGAGCGTCTCTGTTCTTCTCTCTGAGCTGGGCGATACTCAGTTCCAGAGATACTCTCAGTGAAGTGGTCTGGCTTCCAAGTACAGAGTTCTCATGCACCACATCAATCATGTTGGAGTCACAGAATGTCAGGAATAAGTCTTTGAGAGTGGAGTCTCTGAGCAATGACACGATCAGAGAGATGGCTTGAGGGTGGCCTCCAAGCAACTGAATAAATGGATGGTTCAAGAGGTTTGCATGATCCTTATTCAACAACTTATTGTTCTCAGGATTAAATCTGAGATTGAGATGTTGTCCCATTCTGCTACCTTCTGGAATACTTCATTCAACAAGCTCTTTGATTTCTTGTACAGGTATAGGTCTAACCTCTTCTAGCTTCTGCAATAATAGTTTAATTGTAGATTGCTTCGAGAGTGGATACAAATTGAAAAGCTTTTCTTCATTATGAACTAGCTCATTCAGAGGTTTCCTTGAGGTTAGTAACACTTTAATTTTAGAGCAGAGTTCTAAAATTCTTTCTAGCTCGTAAATAAAATTTTCATGGTCATTATCAATTGGATCCTCTCAGTTATCCAATATAATTAACACTTGCTTGTTTTTCAGAATATCTATTGCTTCATTCTGTTTTGCCTCAATAGTCGAGTAGTGCTTCTTCATAACTGGCTCAAAGAAGTCTTGCTCATTCTTCATCATTTCTTCGTCAATCTCTCCAGTGGCTGCTCTGATGCATAATGAGAACTGAGTCAAAAACATTTGGGATGAAGTGATTCCTCTCAACTTGATATATATGATTCCGTCTCTGAACATTTTCCGTTCTTTGTAGAAGTTTGCTAAGTTCCTTGCAATGCTAGTTTTGCCAATTCCTGGAGGCCCAATGACCGTCACAATTTTTGATGAGCTCACCAACCTTGTAATCTGGTACATTTCAATTTCTCTGCAGATGAAGCCTTCCACTTTGTTTGGAACGTAGTCAAACAGAGGGTCTTCACTTAAATCAGTCAGACATCCTTCAGTGAGATTGTGGATGGCTGAGCATTTGTGTTTCTTATCTAATCTTTCTCCATGGCTTTCTTGTGTAAACAACAGAAACTTCTCTGCTTCAGTGGGATTGATCTCGTTGGCCACTTCGTTCTTGGATGTCACATAGGCATCTCACACACTCATTCCTTTGCCAAATAAGTTCTCATAAAACACTGAAGAAAACTTCAGAGAGGCTGCATCTGCTATTTTCTCAGACTGCTTGATGCAGATTACATGCTTGGCACCAGCATTCAAGAACACTTTGCCTGCAAACTCGGAGTGGCAGGACGACACAAAGACAACTTCGAACTTGTTCTCTCTGACTTTGACTAAATCTTCCAATTCTTTCTCGAAGTAGTAGTTGGTTTTGCCAATTGAGTCTTCTAGAAGCAGCACATTGCCTTTCTCCTTCGTCAAGATTGAGTATTGGCCTGGATATTAAGCTATTTAGTTACCTAAATTCTCGATAGTGTTTTCTACTCCATGGCCTGAGAAGTGGAGAGCAATTGGGCAATCAATGACTGTTCTTCTTAGGTTTTCTAGAATATGTTAGGAGGTGACTTACCTCTTGTTCCAACACTGATTTTGTAGTTGAGGTTGTAATTTAGATGTCTTAAGGAATCAAGTATATCTTCTATCTCGCTGGCCCAATCGAGCTGCATTATCTCTCTGCTAATATTGTTGATATCCATCACTAAAGGAGAGGAAAATAGGAATGCAAAGTGTAGTCTATTTTTCTCAAGATTTAAAGGATTATATCCAGATTTCTCTAATTGTTCCAGACTCTTATCTCTCTTATCAAGTTCTTCTTCAAGTCTTGATATAATATCACTAACTCTTTTCTTGATATTAATATCTTGGATTCCTTCAATGATCTCTTTAGTTTCGGTAACAGAGAATGCTGGTCGCATTTGAAGTGATTCAGAAAAAGTAGAGTAATTATTCCCATTTATACCAGCAGAGTGGATAGTATTTCTTTCAGGCATTTCTCCATCTGAGCTTTCGTCATCTATAGTGAGAGAGTTGATAAATACCGAAGTCGTCCATCATGATGTCGCTCATTTCTTCCAGGTTGTCAATATTAAAAGTGGTAGGATTTAAATCATGGTTTTGAGTAACTTCAGTCTGCTCTGGTTGAAAGAAATCCTCTTCAGCCTCTCTCTTCTCTTCAATCTCTATGCCTCGCTCTCTTTTTGCGACTTCCTCTGACTGAGAATGCTTTCTTAGGGATCAAGGAATAAGCGTTTGGATATCATGAATTGTTTCATGCATGTTTCCATCTAAAGTTGATATATGCATTATAGAACCTGTAGCTGAGTCTTCTTCAAGAGGTATTGGCTCCTGTGGCTCTTTATCAATTGGAGTGGAATCTTTTTGTTCTAAATGGAAAATTGAACGTTTTAATGAATACAAGGGTGTTATTTGTGAAAGCATGTTCGGAAAATGGAGAATAATTTGAAAATATGGGAAAATTTAAAGAAGAAATTCCGATTTTACCTTCATTATGGGTTTTGTTGGGGGAAGAATGATCTGCGTTTGTTTTGTCGTTAGTAATGAAGTTGGCGGATTTTTGGAGAGTAAGATTTTGATCAGTTTGAGTGTAATTTGGAGGAATGTTTTGTGGATGGGTGTTGGTGGGTTGGGTTTGGAAACAATCCAAGTCCCCTTGATTTTGATATATTTTGGCATTATTTTTCATAATGAATCTCTTCTGGAACTACAAAGTTAAGGAAACCTTACTCTTATCCAGTTGAGAAGGTGAGTTTGATTTCCTATTAAACCATCCTCTTATTCCCTTATTCTCTCTATTTGTAGATTCCTTCTTCTTTTTGGGCTTCATCATATTTTTAAGAGAGAATTTTGAAAGAAAAGTTTCTTTCTCATTATCCTTTTGTTTTGATTCGTCTTGATGACTCTGGTCTACATTTGGCCTCATAAAATTCTTAAATTTATTAGTAAAAGAAGGAAAGAACCCTTCATTTTTCTGCTCCTCATTTCTCTGGGAATCTCCTAATTTGTTATCCCAAATCATGAAATAAGATTACCTTCTGTAGATTGAGGATGTGCAGAATAAGAGGTATTATTAACAACTAAAATGGTAATAAGTCCAATAGAGATGTCCTTACTTGGCTCCTTGTGATGAATATTTTCCTTTATCCTAAGCTGAGTAATATTATGTATTAATTTGTTCTTAATAATCTTGACTAAATCCCCATTGGTAGTATCCTTCACAAAGATCTCATCCTCAGACGCTGCTCATATCTCCAACTGCGGCACATACTCCAATAGTCCTTCCAAACTCTGGATCTCCTTAACCCCATTACTCCTAAAAGTGCTCTAATCCTTCTAGTTTCAGACTTTTGGCCTCTTCTTTAACTGTGTGGGGTTCCTTTGGGGTCTATATGTGAGAATTTAGTTTGACTGGTGACTGGGGCTTTTTGAAGGGTTTTGAGGGTAACACAACTATCCCTAAACTCAAAGAATTCCCTTCAACGCCTTTAAGATTTATTAATTTCACACTTTCTAAATCTACACAAAAACCACTGGGGCCATTCAACATCTATAAAACCCTCATAAAATGAAAACTCTCAGCTGTACCAGACCCGTATAACCTCTTCTCTCTCCTCCCTCTCCACCCCTCCTCCTGTTCCACAAACCTCTTCCCAAAATTCCTCTAAAAACCACAAAATTCCTTCTATAAATCCCAAAATTTATCGACCTACATCTTCATCACCATCCATTGGCTTCCCAGGCTGTACGTAGCTAGACGAGTTAGGGCTCTCAAGAGTACTCCTTAAACTTGGAAATGAAGGACTGGAAGTTCTCCCTAGAGGAGTTCATCATCTTGTGAATGTTATCTTTGGAACCAGTCATAAATTTTGGCTATAAGTTATACATTAGAAAGTACCACACTCTCAGCTATCTGTGACATATGCTCCTTGAATCCTCCTAGAAGTTAAGATAAGGAATATTGGAAGAACAAATTAAGATTAGCAAACCCTTGGTTGAGTTTTAAGGTGTAATGCTCGCTTTATGTAATCATAACTATAAAGCTAAGTGATCTTTATTGGTCTTAATAATTCAACCACAAAGGTAATTTCTAACCTAATCAACTATAATAATCCAAGACCAGTTTAAAACTCCTAACTAAACTCCCACACTACCCATCTCTGACCAAAACGCTTCACCAAACAATGCCCATATCTCCTATCCTTTCCCACTCAATCAACTTATCTACATCCGCCATCCTCCAAGATCTCTAGTCCACTATTCTCTCCCATAAAGTCCCCATACCCATTCACTATCCCTCTTCCCCCATTCCTTAAAACCCCCATTCTCCTCCAATCCTCACCCACACAGAACTTAATTTCACAAATCTGTTCCTATTCTCTAAATTTCATGTACAAATTTCTAAAGAAAGTCTGATTTCGTGCGGAATAGGTCAGGGATTTTGTTCTATAGTGCTGGAATTTTGGGATTTTTAGAGGGTTTTTTAACTGTGAGATTTGGGATTATAAGAGGAATTTTTGGGTGGGGAAATGGGTTGTTAGTGGGGGTTTAGGAAGGGATTGGGCGTGATGAGTGTTTTAGGGTTCGGATTTTATGGGGGTTTTGGGTGTAATGGGATGGACAGAGGGGTTAGGGGGTAGAAATGAGTTAGTTGTTGGTGTTTGGGATATTTAGTGCTTTGAGAGGGGTAAATGTAACTTACATTTCTCTTCTTCATTGGAACTCTTATCTTGTCTTAGTCAAAAGGCTCCATTGAATTCATCTGTATGATTTTTATGATTAATAAGCATAAACTTTTGCCTAAGACTTCTTAGGTAGAAATTAATTTTTGTGCAGAGTAAAGGAAATGTATGATTAATATTGGTTTAGAATACCTCTTACCAATAAAAATCCCTCAGAGATGAATATCTTACTACAAAAGGAAGGAACTGATAGAAAAAGTATCCACAACAAATTTCTTCTCAGCATAAATCAGAATCATAGGCAAGAAAAAGGAGTTTTTGGAAATAATTTGCCTTAATAGTACCCTTAGCTAACTTTCCCTCCTAAAACTTTGCCTTGTTACTCTTAAGATTTAGTAGAGAGAACTAAACTGGGTTGTATAGGTCGTAAATGCTAGCTAGAGTACAACTAAAATGGGAGATTTCTTTGAAAGCTCCCTAAGCAAGAAAAAGAAACTGTTAAAATGGCATTTAGAAGATTTTAAATATTGCTGAGGATCGCCACGATTGGTAATTTATTAGCTAAATCCCTATTTTTACAAAGTATGGTAACATTTGATACTTGCTGAAGAGAGAATTAGCCAATAATAACTTTCCTGAAGTATAACCTCTTGATAGGCAATCAGACAGAGTATCTAATATTAGGTTATCTTTAAATGTATAGATGAGAGATCCGATAAGTCTATTGACTGTCTTAAGAAACAGTAAGATCTCGGGCAATTAGGCAGTTTTAAGATTATAATTTTGAAGTAAAGGCAGATAAATTGGTACTACTACATTTATAATTGCATAATTCTGCAGGAAAAAGCAAAATCTGGAGTTATGACAACGCCTACCTTCATAATTCTGGAGATCGAAGCCAATGATATCTTGATATTCAGTGCCTTTCCCATAAAAAGATAAAGGAGATTTCTATAAATGCAAAGCATTAGAGTAATGTTCTAATGAATTTGGGACAAACATAGTTGATTATTTTAGATATTTAAGCATCGTATGTCTATCTCCCAATTGCAGGAATCAAAAGGGCGCCTTAAAGTGACCCTGATTAGTCTAGCTCCAATATGATCTCTGATCTGATGTTAGCATACCTTCGGTTTTCTTCTGAATCTCCATTGTCTTTTATGTTTCCTTTTCTATAAATCATTGTTTTCCAAGAAGATTATTTAAAATTCAGGAGTATAGTTGTGTCAAAAAATCAGTGAAATGAGTGGATTATAATAAAATAGCTTACGAAGCGAGCCCAGAAGGTATTCTTGTCTCTTAGAGAAGTCTTCTTTGACGAATCCATATTATTTATGAGGAGTAGAAGAATATATTATAACAACAGATAAGAATTTTTTGGGGTTTTGGGGTTTTGGGGTTTTGGGGTTTTGGGGTTTTGGGG